AAACGTATAATTTAAAAAAATAGGTCGCCTGTAGTATAATATAAAAAATTTGGCCATCCCTGGTATAGCGTATATGATCATTATCAGATTCTACGAACCGCACACGCATGGCGAACAGTGAATCCTATGAGTCCGTCGTGCCACTCGTTGGTCATCGTGTCCACTTGCCCGTACAGTTCACCGATAGTGATCGCTTTCGGATTGATCGTGTACACGTGCACCGGTTGGTAAAGAGGTACGGGCACGGCCATTTTGTAAAGTTTCGTGTACGTGGTGGCAAGAGTCTGAACAAGAGAAAGAGGTCCTCGATTGTTTCCCGAAGGCCTAAGGCGCTAAGCCTCGATGTAGGCAAATAGACGAAAGACGTGAAACGTAAATGACTCACTCGGAGAACCGTAGTTTTTCCGGAACCAGTTGGCCCGACCAGCATCACCCCGTGCCTCACTTGCAAGCACTCGTGCAGCTGAATAGCTTTCGTCAAGGTGCAACGTTCCGGTTGTAGATTACCTTCTTCCAGTACCTGAAACACCCCAAGCGTGTATCGACGTTACGTTGTTGAAAAGTATCGTTCCTCCAGAATTACCGCGACAGCTGTTTTCTCTAAGATGCCGTAATCCTCCTCGGGTATCACGATGCCTGGGAACAAGTCTCCCACGATGCCTTCGAACAGTTCGGCGTCATGCCGCAAGAACTTCGGTATGTTGCTCTCGTATAGAGCTCGGATCAAGACGACGTCTTCCGGTTTATCGGGATTGTTTCGCTTAAGACTGCCCGCCATCACCAACACGCTCTTTACCGCCCTTGAACGTCCAACGGAACAAACAGTTGACGACGAAGACGTGGAAACAGATACGGTGAACGGATGTTAGAAACCTCATTCCGAAATCGTAATGGTCCTGTTGAGAAAGTTGCTCGCTGCAAAGTGTGTACATCAAAGTCATCTTCTGCGACAACGGCCTCGACGACTCGAATCCCTCCGAATATAAAGTGACTTCTGCTATGAGTTCTATAAAAAGTATATAGTTCTATAAAGTAAATTCTATAAAGTAAGGTATAGTATAAGGTATAGTATAGTTCTATAAAGTAAGGTATAGTATAAGGTATAGTATAGTTCTATAAAGTAAGGTATAGTGTAAGGTATAGCATAGTTCTATAAAGTAAGGTATAGTATAAGGTATAGCATAGTTCTATAAAGTAAGGTATAGTATAAGGTGTAGTATAGTTCTATAAAGTAAGATATAGTATAAGGTATAGTATAAGGTATAGTATAGTTCTATAAAGTAAGGTATAGTATAAGGTATAGTATAAGGTATAGTATAGTTCTATAAAGTAAGGTATAGTATAAGGTATAGTATAGTTCTATAAAGTAAGGTATAGTATAAGGTATAGTATAGTTCTATAAAGTAAGGTATAGTATAAGGTATAGTATAGTTCTATAAAGTAAGGTATAGTATAAGGTATAGTATAGTTCTATAAAGTAAGGTGCTGCTCGATTGATTGGATATAAAAAAGAAAAAAACTATTTGCTAGAATTCGAATGAATCTCGCGCAGCGTACTGTAATCCGGAACCATCATGGCGAAGGGCCGGAACAGAGCCTTCAAGTTGTCCGGCAATTCGGTGCGACCCGCGTAACCGGGGTTCATGGTGATAAACGTCGAGCAAGACATGACGAGCTTCATCATTCGACCCTCGAACATGAACCTGACGCGGAAAGAAGAACTTAATCAATTGGACTGTATCGGTTAGAATCGAGTTACATTGGATCTCTGAAACGAACTCTTTGGCTCTAATGATCTTCGCGTTCCTGATCGTGATCAATTGCTGAGCTATCACAGACAGCACCTCTATGTCTATTCTGTTGAATTCGTCGAAGCAACACCAGGCTCCGGAAGTCGCCAATCCTGAGAAAAATCTGCCCATCATCTGCGATGAGAACATGGTAAAGGTACATGGTGTTGTATTGTGCTGTATTATAAATAATATATGGTAGATTATACAGGGTTTCCCAAAAATGTCTCGCAATCCGAAAGTAGGGGATTCCTGAGGTGATTTGAAGCAACTTTTTCCTTAGCGAAAATGCAATCCGCGGCTTCGTTTACGAGTTATTAACGAAAAACGGTGACCAATCAGACGCGAGATCATTTGGCGCGAGACGGCCGAGCCAATGAGCGGAACTGGGCTCCGTGCACTCGTTGGCTGGGATTCGACCACCTCGACCGCTGGCGCCGTTGGCTCGGCCGCCTCGCGCCAGCTGAGCTGGAATTCGACCGCCTCGACCGCTGGCGCCGTTGGCTGGGCCGCCGCGCGCCAGCTGAGCTGGGATTCGACCNAGGTATAGTATAAGGTATAGTATAGTTCTATAAAGTAAGGTATAGTATAAGGTATAGTATAGTTCTATAAAGTAAGGTATAGTATAAGGTATAGTATAGTTCTATAAAGTAAGGTATAGTATAAGGTATAGTATAGTTCTATAAAGTAAGGTATAGTATAAGGTATAGTATAGTTCTATAAAGTAAGGTATAGTATAAGGTATAGTATAGTTCTATAAAGTAAGGTATAGTATAAGGTATAGTATAGTTCTATAAAGTAAGGTATAGTATAAGGTATAGTATAGTTCTATAAAGTAAGGTATAGTATAAGGTATAGTATAGTTCTATAAAGTAAGGTGCTGCTCGATTGATTGGATATAAAAAAGAAAAAAACTATTTGCTAGAATTCGAATGAATCTCGCGCAGCGTACTGTAATCCGGAACCATCATGGCGAAGGGCCGGAACAGAGCCTTCAAGTTGTCCGGCAATTCGGTGCGACCCGCGTAACCGGGGTTCATGGTGATAAACGTCGAGCAAGACATGACGAGCTTCATCATTCGACCCTCGAACATGAACCTGACGCGGAAAGAAGAACTTAATCAATTGGACTGTATCGGTTAGAATCGAGTTACATTGGATCTCTGAAACGAACTCTTTGGCTCTAATGATCTTCGCGTTCCTGATCGTGATCAATTGCTGAGCTATCACAGACAGCACCTCTATGTCTATTCTGTTGAATTCGTCGAAGCAACACCAGGCTCCGGAAGTCGCCAATCCTGAGAAAAATCTGCCCATCATCTGCGATGAGAACATGGTAAAGGTACATGGTGTTGTATTGTGCTGTATTATAAATAATATATGGTAGATTATACAGGGTTTCCCAAAAATGTCTCGCAATCCGAAAGTAGGGGATTCCTGAGGTGATTTGAAGCAACTTTTTCCTTAGCGAAAATGCAATCCGCGGCTTCGTTTACGAGTTATTAACGAAAAACGGTGACCAATCAGACGCGAGATCATTTGGCGCGAGACGGCCGAGCCAATGAGCGGAACTGGGCTCCGTGCACTCGTTGGCTGGGATTCGACCACCTCGACCGCTGGCGCCGTTGGCTCGGCCGCCTCGCGCCAGCTGAGCTGGAATTCGACCGCCTCGACCGCTGGCGCCGTTGGCTGGGCCGCCGCGCGCCAGCTGAGCTGGGATTCGACCGCCTCGACCGCTGGCGCCGTTGGCTCGGTCGCCTCGCGCCAGCCGAGCTCGCCTCTTATTGTTCAGTGTTTTTCGTTAATAACTCGTAAACGAAGCTTCGGAGAACATTTTCGCAAAGGAAAAAGTTGCTTCAAATGACCTCAGGGACCTACCATTCCCAGATTGCGAGACATTTTCGGGATACCCTGTAGATCATAGACCATATGTCATAGTTCCTTGATTTGAACGAGTCAGCCGAATACGAACGTACTCTGTAATCAAGACCTTCCGAGCAGTTAAAAACGACACACTGAACGGCACATGCTTTAGCCAGATCTTTGGTGGTCTCTGTCTTCCCGGTTCCGGCTGGGCCGGCAGGAGCCCCGCCTGTCGAATGTAGACGTGTTAGACTGTGTGCTTTTTTCGAAACATTCAACTGCTTTACCGAGATCCAACTGCAGGGCGCCCATCAGGCACAAGTAGCATCTGTCTGTAAGGGGTGTAATCACGAGTCTCTTCTGTGCACCTAGGTATTCGTATCCATAAATGTATTCGGCGTTGCTCATACGTGCCAGGCAATTGTCAACTTCCGCGTCCCAGTAATAGCGCAACGCTTTTGTCCATTCGAAGCTCGTGCTGTGGAAGCAGAGACACGCGGAGCGAAACGTTCGCAAAGAACGGAATTACAAAGCAATATACAATAGAATTACAATGAAAAAAAAGATAAAAGCAATATGCAATATACAATTATAAACAAGTATACAAGTAGTTCGAATATATTACAACAGGAAACTAATGTTACTTCGTTTAATATACGCGTAGAATTGGATTTTCAAATTCGTGTATTCGTTAATAGAAAATTGTAACGAAGAAAGTTCTGCACACGATTTATTTCTCATCCGGATGCATCTTTAACACTGGATTGCCCAAGGAAGTCATTTTGACTGCTTTTGAAATTCAATTAGAAAATTAATTTAAATTAAACAAAAAATTATTTAAATTAATTTAATAAATAATAATCGTGTTAAAGGACGTAAGGGATATGTTTGTTGCAGAAATATGAAGAATATTATCAATAACCTTGACATGACCTTGATATGTCAAGGTTATGTCAAGGTTATGTCAAGGTCATATGAAGGTCATGTCAAGGTCATGACAAGGTTATGTCAAGGTCATATGAAGGTCATGTCAAGGTCATATCAAGGTTATTGATAATATTCTTCATATTTCTCTCTAACAAACATATCCCTTACGTCCTTTAACACGATTATTACTTACTAAATGAGCTTTGCGAATCATTCGTTGAACTCTGTTCGGACACGGAATTATTTAAATTGAAGTATCATTTACGTACTTTGATCATTTTCACTGTACACCTTGCTTAAGAATTTTATATGTTGTCCTTGACATGACCTTGACATAACCTTGATATGAACTTGACATGACCTTGACATGACCTTGACATGACCTTGACATAACCTTGACATGACCTTGACATAACCTTGATATGACCTTGATATGTCAAGGTTATGTCAAGGTTATGTCAAGGTTATTGTTCATATTTCTCTAATAAACATATCCCATACGTCCTTTACTTCAAATGACCTCAGCTACCCCTCATTTTCGGCTGTTAAAATAATTGTGGAACACCTTGTATATATGTGTTATACCTATATTGCCCAAAAGCAGTCGTTTTGAGTGGTTGGGAAATTTAAAATAATCAAATGACTCTTATTATTGAATTGAGTAAATTTCTTATATGACCAGTTCGGCTCTGTATTGAAATAACGTTTTTCACTTTTTTCGATTACCGTTACATGATAACATACAAGTACATGATAAATTGTCGATTTGGGCGTATACTACATAAGTTGCAGTTGCTCAATAAGCTAAAGTAGTACTTGTTATTCGTATCTTTATGTTATTCGTATCTTAAATTTTTTTATTGTTAATATTTACTAATAACCTGTTATATAACTGTTATTATAATAAAATATATATAATAAAATAATGTTATGTAAAATATTACAAATTAATTTTAAACAAATTTCTTGACACATTAGTTATTCTTTCATAATGCAGTCATTTTGACTGCTTTTGGGCAATATAGATATTATACTAAGTTTCAGTCTTTCTAGTGTTAAAAATGAACCGAATCAGATCAGTTTATCTCGCAAAGGTCTCACCTGGACGACACGTTGTTTTCGACTAAACTAGTCACGATATCTCTGGCGTGAACGTCAATCGTAATTAAATTAATTATAACGTCGCGGATCAGTTTTGGTAATTCTCCTCTGACCATTCCGGCCAATTCATTCAAATTCTACAGTAACGTAAAAACAGAGAGATGCTTTAGTGGGTACGCAAGCAACCGTTGTTATAAAAACGTTGTTATGAAATATTCGAACGAAAAGTTACTGAACCGCGAAACACTGCAACTCGAACGTTTTCATCAAGTCGAACACGCGATTTTCGGATTCTAAGATCATGTCTATATTGAGGGTCCAAAAGATCTGGGAGACGGTGAGGACTATCTGGAACGGACAGAACCGGGATACAGTGGTGTAACGGTCTGTAACAGACTCGTTGAGATGTACACGTATACAAGACGGTCCACAACGGTTCAAAAATTCGTACTTTTTATTACTAATTATCATAAAATAAAATTAGTCAAGAGAGCCAACAAATTAGCGGGTTCGGGTTTTGAACCGTAGGAAACGCTTTTAACCTGAGAAGGATGCATCGACAGGAATTGTTGTCGTCCCTTCGCTTCGTAATCCTTAATTCCCTGTTTCATTCTTCTCCTTAAAGTCGAAAACATAGCTTCCTCCACTCTAGCCAGCCAATCTTCCACGTTGCCCCTGGCTTTGAGACCTGTCCCGAGAGGAACTCTTTCGCCTTCCGGTGAAAGCATCGCCACTATGTCTATGGTCAAGATTTGCTCGTCGCCGGTTTCGCTATCCTTCAGCGCGAATTCCAATCTGTGTATCGCGTCGAAACATTTCTGCAAGTGTCTCTGCACGGCATGGGGATTCTTCGTCTATTTGACAGCAACAAAGATTAAAGTCGGCCACCTGACCCAGCGTCGGGTTCTGCGTTTGGGAAATACCAGGAGAAATGCCGAGTTCTCACGAATTATCGGTCGGTACCTGAGCCAGAATCTCCAGAAGTTCGTCGTTCGACAAGAAGAAGAACCGCGGGAACGCCATCCGTTTCGTTTCGAGGTACGCCAACAGGCACTTCATCACCTCGTCCAATCTTCTATTGTTCTCTTCGAATTGTTCGAGCAAGCCCGGTTGAGTGCAACAAGCCATTGCCAGAGGCATCTGAAGATATAATTGCAACGTGTAGTAATAGTAATAATAACAACGACAACGATGAATGTTTTTAATTATTTTGCGGTCGCAGAGGTCGCGGCCATAGGTACCTTGTGAGTTCGTCTCATGAGATCTTTCCAGAACTTGTCGACCTCGATGAACAACTTCGCCTCTGTCGGGAGCTGTCTTTGAATGTCGGGCGCCGAGAAAATTGCCTCGAGATACATCCATTGTTGCTGCAAATACTGCCAGGCTTCCTGTACACGCGCATATTGACTGTAACTCGATAATCTGAACTTGTGAACAGTGAATAGTATTGCGTAATATTTTTAGCAAAGTTATCGTACACTAGTGGTCTTAGTTTTGAATGTGTATCAACACTTTAATATGGTTTAATTGATAAATTTATGTCTCAACTTCGCCTATGATTTAAATAATTTTTAATATAATTATAATTTATTCCAAATAAAAACGTGGAACATCATGATTTTGCCTAATAGAATATAATTTATTAATCGTTTCTTTTTATGCAGAAAGGATATAAAAAGAAAATCATGATGTTTCTTATTTTTATTACTAATATAATATTACTATTATAATATATATATATATATTATAATATAATATATATTATAGTAATTATATATATAGTATATATAATATAATAATAATAGTATACATATAATAATAATTATAATAATAATATATATTAATAATAATAGTATATATATATATATATATATATATACAATATAATAATATAATATAATATTATATATACTATTACTATTATTATTATACTAAATTATATAATATTACTAAAACCTAGCACATTGTATTGCAAATTATTTACGTAAAATAAAAACTCTCAGTCATTTAGATAAAAAATTTGGTACGAATGTGAATTAAAACGTACACGGATTGTAACACGGACATGTAAACTGCACGTGCACGCGTGTATTTTAGATAGACGTGAAATGGAGATCACTACCGTGCACGTACCAGAGTAACGATGAAGAGATCAAGCTTCTTAACCCATTCGTCGACCAGGGGCTGGATGGGTCCCACGCGGCGCGACGCGTTAATCGTCTGCAGGTTGATGTTGCTTTCGTTCATCGCCGTTTCAACCTCTTCCATGCTACCCAGAATATAAACGTCTTTCTCATCCTTGTGAGCGACAACAATGAACTTCAGCTCTTCCCACAGATTCACGACCTTGTTCAGCATTTTCTCCAGGTTGGCCTCGGAGCTCGCCACGGCAGCGATTTCCATCAGTTCCTCGGGTTTCTGGAATGCGCCGAGATCTTCCATCAACGTCCAGGTCTTCTTTTCGTCGGGCTTGAACGCATAGTTCAGTATGTCTTCTATCCTCTCCCAATGCCTGTCTCGCAGATCGGGATTCCTCAAGTAACCGAGGATCGGCAGTTTGTTCCTCAACGATTCGACGTTGTCTTTCAGTCCGGGGACGATATTGTTCGGCGGCAAGCCTCTCTCCAATTGGATCAGATTCTTCATCGTGCGCATCGTGAACGTTGTGATATCTTCTACGTTCAACGTATCGAAGTCGAGCGCGTGCCATTCGAACACTGCGTGCTCCCATTCTTGCAGCGTCTCCCACAACAAGGTGCGAAGCCGCAACTCGTTCGTCACTTGATCCAAGACGTCGAATCTTGTCTGCTCGAGCTGTAGTAATTAATAATTGTAGACGAGCACATGTCGCGTGTCGGTTTAGCTTGTCTAGCTGCTCGGATTGTTCTCTTTCGACGAAGAAAGAAGGAAAGAGGGAAAGGCAAGAAACAAATGGCACCTTGAAAGTCCTCTGATGCGCGTGGTACTCCTCCGCAGTGGCGGCACAGGCATTCAATCTGTCGCCGAGGTCTTTCAATGTATTCAAACAGGCCACTTCGTCGCTCTGAGAGTCCAGCAGCCAAGGTTGCTGTTGACAAACAATGGAAGCGGAGCTGTCGGCGAACGCGAGAACAACTTGCTGCCGCAACCGAATCAGTAAACACTTACCGTTAACTCGTCACGGATCTCCGATATCTTTTCGTTCAACTCTGTGATGTCTTTCTGGAGCTGAGAATTGAACTTGTTGATCAACTTCGCTCGATCTTCCAACACGTTCTCCATCACCAGACGTAAACTGGTGAACTGCGTTCCGATGCCCTGTGAACAGCAACCATGAATACCGTTGTAACAATACGTCGGAGTAACGACACTCTCGTGGGGTCGTAACTACCGATCAGTTACCAAATAGTTGGCCATGTCCACCGAAGGTATAGGAAAACCGAATTCCTCCATCAAGTCGTACAGCTCCTTTACGTAATCCAGCTGCGCCTCCATCTCGTCGACAAGTTCTCGAGCTTTGTCGACGAACATTATGTACTTGACGTACTCCTCCGTCGTGACGGGCGCGGACTCGAGGTATTTAATGGACTCGACGGCTTTTGTTAGGAGAGCGTCGACTCTCGTTTTACCTATACTAACGGCGGAATGAGGAAGATAAGTAAGAGTAGTATAAGTAGTAGTATATATATAAGTAATAGTAGTAGTAGTAGTAGTAGTAGTAGTAGTAGTAGTAGTAGTAGTAGATATTATATTAGTAGTAGTAGTGGTAATAGTAGTAGTAGTAGTAGTAGTAGTTAGGAGAGCGTCGACTCTCGTTTTACCTATACTAACAGCGGAATGAGGAAGATAAGCAAGAGTAGTATAAGTAGTAGTATATATATAAGTAGTAGTAGTAGTAGTAGTAGTATATGTATATATATACAAATAGTAGTAGTAGGAATAGTATATATATATAAGTAGTAGTATAATGCAATACGACGAGACGAAAAGGTTCGACAAAGACACCCACCCGGGCATAACAGCCTCAAGGACGCCGATCTTTCCTCTGGGAGCGAGCTGCGCCGCCACCTTAAATCGCTCGAGCTGAACGAGGAACAGGCCCAATCGTTGATGCTCGATAACTTTGCCGATTAGATCCACCTCCCTCCTGTACCGGATGCTCCAATCCCGGAATAATTTGCAATCTCGATTGTCGCGGATAATATTCTCGTCCAACGTTGTGTCCTCCAGATAGAATTCACGGATCTCGTCGAAACGGCGGCAATAACGTTTCACGACATCGAAGATGCGATCCCAAATCTCGGCCATCCGTTTCTTGAGTGCGTGCGTGATCGGATCTTGCTTGAGAACGTCGTGCATATCCGGGGGAAGGCCCGAAATCCGGTCTTCTATTTTGTGATTGATCATTGGCCTCGAATAAGAGAAATTCTACGTGCAGTCGTACAGTCGGGACACGACAGAACATCGATATTCCGGTACGATACCTGGTGAACGAGTTGAAGAACGGATCGGAGAGAAGAGGTTTCACGGCGTATATGTTCTCCTCCCACATGATTTGGATAGTTTGTATCACGAAACGGAAGATGGCTTCGGTTGGATCCATTACGACATCCGAGGACGGCAGAATTAGCAGATCCACCACGAAGTATGGCTGCCGGAAGAATTTTGTTGGAATACGATCTGCTGTACAGATGAAATTGCAAGAAGGAAATTTGAATAGCATAAACCTGCAGACGGTGTATCGAGGACTCGGTCTCTTTTATGGGAACGTCGATCGTATCGTTATCGATCAACTCGTCCTCCGGCAAAGAATCCACGTGACTCTCCAAAGCTTTTATAAACTCCACGTAGGAGTTTATCAAGAGACCGTGCATCATGTTCGCTTGCATGTAATCGATTAGATGGATGAAGCTGAATAGAAAACAACATTGAAATATTTGTGCGTCTTTTCCCTCGTTCCGGTGAAGTGTATTCGGGACAACGTACCAGGAAAGTCTGTAACATTTGTTCCTCTTCCTCGCTTGCTCGATGTAACTCATCTTGAGCACCCCGTCTTTCGGCATCTTGAACTTGACTGCACTGAATTCGCCTAGAGAAAACGAAATATTTGAATCGCAGAACCAACAACTGTTTCAGATCGGTCGAAATGTGTACATGTCTGGCATTTTCGATGCTATTGAAAATGGGTAATTTGTATGTTTCACGGCCTTGTCCGTTTTTTTAGGTAAGACGGCCCTTGCGGCCCATCTGCAGGGCACGTGAGCGCCGAACGAGCGTCGACTCGAGTCGAGCAAATCTTGACTCGAAAGTCCGTTACACGGATTGGTTACTTATGACCACTAAAGATCTTCCGACCCACAGTTTGCGGGTCTTCCGCGTTTTTAGTCAGTCGTCG